AAGGACTAGAATTCCAGGCTGATTAGACTTCTAATTGACCTCTAAAAAAGCTGCCGTTACTGCATTAATGACTAATTGTCTTTAAATATACACCACATCTCTTATTCTCTTCTTCATTCTAAAACCTTCAAAAATTATACCTCTTGTTTTAATTTCTCCTCTTCTCCAAGAATCCTCAATTGCTTCTCTCTCCAGAAATTCCAAGTCGCTTTTCTTCTCAGAAATTCCCAAAACTCCTCCATAAACGAAAACCATGTCAAACCCACAAGATCATCCTGGCACTCCTCCACCACCATCCCCCTCTAATCTATCCTCATCTACTCCTTCTAGTAAATCCCTAAAATCTAGGTTTTGAAGGCAGAAAATGTTGGCTAGAAAATCTGTACCATCTGGAGCCTTGAGGAAAGTTTTAAATGAGAGGTTGAAAGCTAGCCAGAAAAGGGAATCCCCAGCTAAAGAGTCTGATTCCAGTTCTGACTCTGAATCATTTATTTCTGCTAGTGAAGGTGAAGAACATGGGTCTTCTGACACTGAGAAAATTCAAGAAACTCCTGAGGTAGGTTCTTCTAAAGTTAAAAACGTAGAAAACAGGTTTGTTCTAATTGGACCTGTTAAAGATGTATTGTTGGCTTAATCGAGTAGGAGTGGAGGTAAAAATAAAGGAAAAGAGAGAGAGGGAGGAAGTGGTGAAGAGAGGGGAAAAGGAAAGGGAGAAGTTCTTGCTATATGTGGAGTTGAAGAAGAAAGTGGCTTCAAGTCAGGGGGAAGTGGTTCTGGGGAAGCAGCTGAAGGGCTGGTTCATTTGAGCAAACAAAGAGATGAACCTGGTTCATCTGCTGAGGAAACTCTGGCTGATATCCTGAAAAGGGGGGGGGCAAGTTATGGCCTAAAGAAACGCAAGTCTATCTAACAAAAGGCCCCAACTGTTCTCAAGCCAGCCAAGAAAAGAAAAACCTCACCCCCTAAATGTACTGCCCTTTCAGTACCTAAGAGACGAGCTAGAAGAAGCAGGTTTCGACAAAGTGAAGCTGACCTACAAAAAGCTCTGGAAGAAAGCAAGAAAAAGAAAAAGGAGAAGGGTAAGAAAAGGGTTGCAGAGTCCTCTGAGGCTACTGAAGAAGAGGAGATGGAACTGGTTCATCAAGAAAGAGGAACAACAGTAAAGGTTCCTTCACCAAAACCTAAAAGTCCAAGACTTCTACCAAGAAGTCTTCCTGTGAACCTGTGTCTGGTGAACCCTTATTAGCCAAGAGGACAAGGTCTGCTGTGAAAGGTAAGCAAAAGAAAATTGTTGAAGAAGATGAAAAGTGGAGTGGTGAAGAAGAAGAAGAGGAATCTGAGAAGGAGCTGGATAAGTTTGCCATCTTTGGCAGGAGAAAAATTCTGAAAGGAAGACTGTTGAAGGACCTGGAAGAACCAGGGATGAGAAGACTGATGGATGCTTTAGCTGCACAAGGTTGGAAGGACATGGTCCTTGAAATGGATGGGAGGCTGGCCAGGAATGAATTGATTGAGTTTATGGCCAATGCTGCTGTAAAAGATGGAGTAGTCACCAGCTTGGTGAGAGGAGAAAGAGTGAAGTTTGATGCAACCAAACTTGATGAGATCCTGGACACACCTACTGAAGGGTATGATGATTATACAAGGAAAAGGTGGCCATGTCTGGAGTCTCTTCCTACTGCTCTTGAAATCACTAGGAGATTCTGTGACTCTAGAGAAGTGCCTGAAGCCAGATTTCTGCAGAAAAGTGAAATGAGACCTGAACACAAGGTCTTGTTTGAATTTGTCAACAAGTGCCTGCTCCCAGACAGGAGAGAAGGCACACTGCAAATTACATGGACCTGGTTCTTATGGAGTGCTTGGAGAGAGGAATACAAATCAACTGGCCTGCTTTCATTGTCAAATTACTAGACAGGGTCATAAATGGCGCCAAGGCTCATGCCACTCCATATGGGTTCATACTGACTACTGCGCTGGACAGGCTGAAGGTGCCTTTGAAGAAATGGGAAATGGCATCAAGCAAGGAGCATTTTGGTGTTAAACCCTACTGGCTTGTGACTATCCTGTCAATGCCATCCCAGTTGAACCTGGTTCATCTCTGAGGACATCCATCAACAGCAAGGTTAGGGCCTTGGTTCAGGAGTATGGAACTAAGGATGATGAAATTGCTAGGCTCAAGGCACGCGTGGCTGAATTGGAGAATGAGAGGGATGGCCTTAGAACTGAGCTAGCAAAAGAAAAGGAGAAGAGTGATGGAATGCTTCAGAATATGTTAAACCTTCTCCAATCTCAACCCTCTAGCTCCTCCAAGCTCTAGTTCTTCCAGCACTTGTCTTTGGAACCAGTCTAGTACCCCCAGTGAACCCCAGTGACCCAGATTAAAGATGTTTCTGTTTTCTTTTGCTCATGTTTTGGAAGTTTTTCTTTCTTTTTGTGGACTGTTTGTGGAACCATATCTTTATCAATGACAACTGTTGTTTTCTCTTGTTCAATGATGATTCTGATCTTAATAGTTTAAATATGTGTGTTGATTATTGATAATTGCACAATGATTTCACTTGTAGTTGCCCCAGTGGCCATGAGTACTTATTAAAGTTTGGGTTTCACACTGTGTATGCAACTTTTTGATGATGCCAAAAGGGGGAAGAGGTGATATTGTGCTTTACTCATTATTCTGAATTAAGTTTACTCATTATTCTGAATTAAGTGATATTTATAACGTAATTAACCTGGTCCTTGATGAGAAGTAAAATTTCTAAGTTAATTGATAATGATTAAGCCTGAGTTCTTACAAGTTTTTGATCAGTAAAAAGCACTGAGTTTGTTATCATCAAAAAGGGGGAATTTGTTAGCCTAGGAACGGGTGAAGTTTTGAAGAATGACAAATGAACTCAGTCATGGACCAGGTCCATCATGTGAAGCACAGTGTTTGTCAACCTATACATGTGAGATGCACGTGAAGGAGATAAGTCCATTGATCAAGCAGCAATATCTCCTGAACTGATCGAAAAGGTTGCATATCGGATAAGGAGAGAAAACTCTCCTTATGAGAAGAGAACACAATCCAGATAAAGGATAGGCTTAGAGGTTGTGTTGTTCAAGGACTCAACTTCGATGGAAGATCAGCAATTGAGTCTTAATCAAACTCCAATTACTAACTCATTAAATAACAGTGATTGGTCTCTTTTACAGGTATTGCACAAACGCAGAAGTTAAACTAAATTGAGAGAAAAAGAGCGAGGCAATTTTGCAAACAATATATGTGAGATTTAAGTGTGCATTCCTGAAGCTACTTGGACAAGATAGAAGAACCAATTCCATTGTGTCCTTCTTTTATTCTAGTTCAATTGTAGTGGGTGATTTAAACTTGTACCTTTCAGCTTTCACAGAAGCAATTGTATTAGGTACTTTGAGTATTCAAGTTAGAGTTAACTTGAAGTTGTCGCAACAGTTGAGGCTGTGTGCCACAACGGGATTAGAGTTTAATCCTTAGGTTTACAAGAGTTTTGTAAATGCGGTTTTGGCTCAGTGATTTTAGTGGAAGTTTGGGAAAATCCTATTGAGTAGTAGGTCGTGGTTTTTTCACCTTTTGAGCCAGGTGTTTTCCACGTAAAAATCTCTGCGTTCTTTATTTT